GGTTTAGGGTTTAGGGTTGAGCTCTATGGATCAAGCCAGGGTTTAGGCTTTCAAAGTTTCGGGTTTCGGCTTAGGGTCCCTTCCCCAACGCTCTCATCGAAAGCCTTTTCTAGGCATTTGGGCCCCCTCTTCCCCAGACTCTCATCCGAACCCTTTGTTACATCGAGATCCTCAGAAAGGGTCCGAAGATTCCGTAGTAGCCTCCCCTTTTGATCGCCCCTGCGAGTTTTAACAAAAGTCATAGACGGGGGGGGGGGGGGGGGGGNNGGGTTTAGGGCTAGGGGTTTAAGGTTTAGGGTTTAGGGGCTTGCCGAAATATGTATAAATAAGCATGCATGCGTAGATAGGCAAACCCAGACGGATCCACCGGAAGCAGGTTGGGACAATAGTAGTGGTGGTCGCAGTATAGGTAGTAGCCGTAGCAGAGGCAGTAGCAGCAGCAGTAGCAGCAGCAGGCAGTGGTGGTCGTGTTGGTAGTCGTTAGTTGTATAGAATGGAAGCGACGGTGGTAGTGAGGCACTCCGCCTTCTCTTCCTCCTCCTCCTCCTCCTCCTCCTCCTCCGCTCTCCCCTCCTCCGTATTTTTGGCTGTGGCTAGGAGCAAGCAAGAGCAGCAGCAGTACTGGTATGCTTCCATACACAGTAATCATCTCCAACTCGAGACATTTTCCACATCTCTGCACCCTGAGATGTTTAGACCTACTGAACCTGCAAGCACTTGCTGAGGTCAGGGTGAGCCGTTCACTACCTCTAGAAGGATTTGCTGAATCTGTGCTTTCCCGTTAGCTGTGCGTCCGGGACGTCTCGAGATTTCGGATTTGCAGAGTGTTCCGGGCCAGGATATCGAAGACTCCTCCCTGGAACCCCCTCCAAGGTAGCCCTGACATGAATACCTCCTGCCCAGTCGAGGGAAATTGTCCTCGACTGGGGGCATCTCGCAAGGGTCTCCTCCAAAGCGGAGACTTGGATAACCTTTACAGTAACAAAGCGGCTGAAGGGAAAAGACGGAGCCTCGACCCTGAACCCCAATGCCATCCTAGTAACTCTAGAAGGAGAAGCCTTTCATTCTAGTCTTCTAATATAATAAGTGTGTAGTATAGCCTTCTGCTCGTCTACTCGTGATATCTCAGATCAGTTGGTCTAGCGATTCTGATCTGGTCTCTGGGCTTGGTTTGGAAGAACATCGGCGGCGCTTAGGCCTTGAACAGTACGATGGCTAGTACAAGGGAACCTGAATACTGAGAAACCCCGAAGAGGGTGTTCAGGATCGCATGCAGGGTCTTCAGAGCTGGCGAGCCATACTTTTGACTTTGCAAACCGGGCTTACGTAGCCCTAAACCCCAAACGCTAAACCAGGATCCACTGCGACCCCAATGACAGTCCCGAGAATCGACATCTAACCACCTCTGCTTATCAAGCCAGCAAGAGCCGGGTCCTTCTGTGGGCTTGGACGCGTCGGTTCCCGAACCGTTGCAGGAGTTTGGGTATTTGCGATATGTGGGAATCTTTTGACCTGGGCACCTTAGTTTGAGCCCGTAGGAGTACTACGAGCTGGCCTTGTGAGAGCACCCAGCGAAAATCTATTTGAGAAGTCCCCATATGTGGACGACAAAGGACCGATCTCGCTGCGACTTCCAGTTGTGCTCGCCTGCCTGAGGTTCACAGTGATCCAGCACAGTAGAACCGAGTAAATATAGAGTATATTACAATAAACACCACATGTAGAACTCGACAGTACATGTTAAGGACATGGCATTTCGAGCAGTTTAGAACTTCAAGTGCCTCATTTTCACGGAATTTAGCCTGGAGCGTTGTCTTTTTTGTTAAGAAAGAAAGGGCTTAGGGTTTAGGGCAGTTTAGGGTTTTTTAGAGAGAAAGGGGCTTCCCTCAGAAGACTCCGCGGGGCCTTGAGATGGCATCTGGCTTCTGCTTCTGACCATGGCCAGGAGGCCTCTTTTTGTTTAAGTCTCTTCGCTCTCTGGTGCTTTTCCTCAGAGTTCGGGGGGGGGTGGGGGGGGGGGGGG